GAACTCCTGACCTCGTGATCCGCCCGCCTTGGGATTACAGTGCTGGGATTACAGTCCTGAGCCACCACGCCCAGCCACAATCCCAGGATTTTGAAAGGCCAAGACAGGACGATCACTTGAGCCTAGGAGTTTGAGACCAGCCTGGGCAAATCGTAAGACCCCATCTCAAAAAAACAAAAATTAGCAGGGTGTGGTGGCAAGTGTCTGTAGTCCTAGCTGCTTAGTAGGCTGAGGTGGGAGGATCACTTGAGCCTGAGAGGGCAAGGGTGTTCAGTCTGGGCAACAAAACAAGTCCCAGTCTCAGAAAAAAAAAAGATGACCATTAGCTCGTTGTGGATGAGATTAGATTATCTTAAAAATAACCTTAAAAATTCATTCCCGGCAAGGTGTGGTGACTCACGCTTGTAATCCCAGCACTTTGGGAGACCGAGGTGGGTGGATCTAGAGGTAACGCAATCGAGGCAAGGCTTTTCTAGGATGCTCACTGGATAAATAATCAGGATTTTTCAACCGTAATTGGAAATAAATTTGTCAACCATAATTGGAAATTAAAATTGAATTGCAGTATTCAGATTTATCAATACGCTTCATTTTTTAAAAGTCAAATAATGACATTAAAGGGGTGTTTTTATTTTCTAGAAGAATCAAAAGAACCTGTTGCTGATGAAGAAGAGGAAGACAGTGATGATGATGTTGAACCTATTACTGAATTTAGATTTGTGCCTAGTGATAAATCAGCATGTGAGTGTTCTACAGTATTGATTCTTCCCCTTTTATGTACCAAGCATTCCCAATTCACACACACACACACACACACACACACACACCCCCTCTCACCTTTACCACCATTACCTCCATTTTACTGCTTTTTCTTCATTTTAGCATTGGTAATATTGAGGACCAAATACCTATTAACATCAAAGGTTGTGAATGTAGTGAGAATATTGTAGACACTGTGTTATCTGGGTTTATTTTGTGAATGGACTCTTGTTAGTTTTACTGATTGGTGCTGTTGACTTAATCTCACCTGCTGGATGGCAGAGGAGTTACAGCAGTTTTAAAGTGGAAGATCTCAGGATGGCTGGAAAGAGCCCTATCAGCTGAGAGGGGCTTCACCCTGATGCCAGCAGTCTTACCAGGACTCTGACCCTTTTTTCTTGGAAAACCCCATGAGCCATGAAGAGATCGTAATAATCTCTCATAATGAACTCTTACTATTTTATGACTTGTCCTTTGCTTCAGCCGCTTTCAAGATTGATTTTACAATTTGGCAAGTTTGTAAATACTGTGGCCTTTTGTGTACCCATTAAATTTATTGGCACTGATGGTTATTTTTATTATAAAATTTTATTCTACATTGAAAAAAAAATTGGTTACAGTTTAATTCCCTTGTTCAGTGGAGGCAATGTTCACTGCAATGTGCGAGTGCCAGGCCTTGCATCCAGATCCTGAGGATGAGGATTCAGATGACTACGATGGAGAAGAATATGATGTAGAAGCACATGGTTAGTGAAACGGATTTTAAAGTGTTTTTTTGTTTGTTTGTTTAGTGTTTCATTGTAAGCATTTATTTGTATTAAGGGTAGAGGATTATAGTTCTTTATATGTCTGTAAAATATGCAGTATGGTAAGATTATTTTTATTATTATTATTTTTGAGACGGAGTTTTGTTCTTGTTGCCCAGGCTGGAGTGCAATGGTGTGGTCTCGGCTCACCGCAACCTCCACCTCCCAGGTTCAGGCGATTCTCCTGCTTCAGCCTTCCAAGTAGCTGGGATTACAGGCTTGAGCCACCGCACCTGGCCTGAATTTTCTTATTTTATAAACATTTCTAAAAAAGTAAGCTTGAATTTATTTATATGCATAAAGGTGTCCAAGCTGAACTTTTATATACTTTGTGATATTACATTAGGATTTACTTTCTAAAACTAATCTACTTAAAACATGTTTTTCAGCCGCCTGTCTTGGTTAGATGGTTCTGGATTAGGATTCTCACTGGAATACCCCACCATTAGTTTACATGCATTATCCAGGGACCGAAGTGACTGTCTAGGAGAGCATTTGTATGTTATGGTGAATGCCAAATTTGAAGGTATGTATGGTGTAATTTAATCTAATGCCTCCTTTGATAGCAAATTATATTTTAAAAAAGAGTGTTTGATAATAATCAATGTAACATTGAGGCCATTGACTCATTTTGGATAGTAGTTTATTAAGCAAAATTTCAGCACAGCAACTTGGACAGTTGAAGTTTTCATAATGGACGTTTGTGTGTGTCTGTATATATTTCTATATATTTACACTTAGAATTCTTCATTTATTATGGATATGTATTTCTAACTTTCCTTTAAAGTTTCACTGTTTATTCTGCCTTTCTCTTTTTAAAAGGCACACTTAGAGGCTTGGATCAGTATACCCTGTGCTTCTGAGAATTTAAGAGAGAACTGTTCTGTTTTGTTACAATAGTGGTTATCAGTGGGTGTAGGGGGAATATATTTTTCATAGACCTCCACCAACCTCACCATTCCCCCACATTTGGCAGTGACATTTTGGTTGAAAGAGGAAGGATATTATTGGCATCTAGCAGTTAGATGCCAAGGGTGCTATTATTGTACTAAATATTCTGCTATGCGCAGATGGTCCCCCACAACAAAGAATTATTCCATCCAAATGTCAGTGGTGCCAAGGTTGAGAAACTGTAGGATATAAAGATTTTCAAGTTTTGCTTTGGGATAATTGCAAAGACTTGTAAAAATCTAGTGAAGATGTTCATGTTTAAAATAATGGGTTGCTTTTCTTTGAAGCAGTGTGTAAGAGACAGTCCCATGAATTTACCTATAAGACTATTGCTCTTTCAAATTGGGATTTTAATATGGTTCCAGATATAATAATATGATCATTTATATTCAGTTGTGACACAATTTAGTAATTCTTAGGACTTTTGGCAAGCCCTGCCTCATTAAGTGGTAATGACTGATTCGGCTATCTGAAAATATTTTTGTTATAAGATTTCCAATTCTTGCCGTTGGAAAAGGTTCAAAGACATTTAAAAATCTAGTGAAGTCTGAAAAAGAGGATTAGGAAAAGTAAAAGGCTGTTAACCCTGGGGTGTAGTAGTGTAGTAAGACTTCCTAATAAGGCATTAGATACAAAATTTGCTTTTCATCTAAGTAAATGCAACTATGATTTTATAACTAAGAATATCATGTGTCATGTTTAGTTTAAAGCATTCATTCATTTCCAGAAATGCAAAACCTTAGAGGTACTCTTGCCAGTCAGCTCCAAATGCTGGTGTGAAATGGCCCTAAATAGTGACGGGCACTGGAGGTGGGAAAGGTACATATCAAGAGAAAGGCTTAGGAAATAGTGTTTAATAATAAAGGGCAAAAGCACATTGAATAAGAAAACTCTGTCATTAGGCCGGGCACAGTGGCTCACACCTGTAATCCCAGCACTTTGGGAGGCCGAGGCAGGCTGATCACCTGAAGTCAGGAGTTGGAGACCTGCTTGGCCAACATGGTGAAACCCTGTCTCTACTAAAAATACAAAAATTAGCTGGGCCTGGTGGCGGGCGCCAGTAATCCCAGCTACTCGGGAGGCTGAGACATGAGAATCGCTTAAACCCAGGAGGTGGAGGTTGCAGTGAGCTGAGATTGCGCCACTGCACTCCGGTCTGGGCAACAGAGCGAGACTCTGTTGAAAAAAAAAAAAAAGTAAAAACTGTCATTAACTTGCTAGGCAAGTCGTTTGCATCTCTCTGAGCCTGAATTTCATCCAAAAAGGTTAAGGGAGTATATTGGTCTCTGGTTCTCAAACTCAAGACTAACGGATACATATTAGAAATACGTGGGAAGCTTGTTTAAAATGCAAATGCTGTAAGTCCTAAACTAGGAAAAAGCAGTTCAGTAGGTTTTAGGGTGTGTGTTTTAAATATGTGCTCTATAATCTTACAGAGTCTATATGATTATTTGATTGTAATTGATGTGATTATGATTAATCCTTTCTTAGTAAAATATGCAGGATTTCCTATCTTACTAGAAATTAGTATCTTCCTGGGTCACATTTATTTCACTAATTCTCCAGTTTTTTTTTTTTTTTGGGACGGAGTCTCGCTCTGTTGCCAGACTGGAGTGCAGTGACGCGGTCTCAGCTCACTGCAACCTTCGCCCCCGGGTTTCAAACGATTCCTCCTGCCCAACTCCTTGAGTAGCCTGGGATTACAGGCGCCCACCCGCCATGCCCCTGGCTAATTTTTTTTTTTGTATTTTAGTAGAACGGTGTTTCACTGTGGGTCGTGGCAGGTCGTTCCCGAGTTTCCTGGAGTTCTGCCATCCCCCGCCCCTCAGCCTCGCCAAAATGCTGGGATTAACAGGCGTTGAGCCACCTTTCGCCTGCGCCTCCCACGGTTCTTTGTTAATCTTAACGGACATCCTTCCTCCATAAATTACACATCCCTGAATCAGTCTCCTTCCTGTTTGGTCTGTTCGTCGACGAACATTTCTGATTCCTCCAGAATTCCAAGGTTTCTTTTCCTCTTTGGCATACCTTTCCTCATAAGTCTCCTTTATAAAATGACCCATCCAGGAACCGTAGCAACCAGTGGTTTCACATCTGTATCCAGGTTTTTTATTTTTTGAGAACGGACGTTTTTCACCCTGTCCCACCCACAGGCCTGGAGTGCAATGGCGGCGCTCCTTTTGCTTCAGTGGCCACCATTCTATGCCCCAACCCTTTATCTTTTTTTTTTTTTTTGAGGACGGCCGTCTCGGCCCTGTCACAAGGCTGGAGTGCGAATGCCGGATCTCTGGTCATTATGTTTCTGGTCTACATTGTTTCGCTCAACCTCCTGAAGTGTCCTGGATTACAGGCCGCCACCAGCCCCACTGGGCCTGGCTGCATTTTGTATTCTTCATAGTAGAGACGGGACGTTCTCAACCATGTTTGGCCCAGCGCTGGGTCTCGAACTCCTGACCTCGTGATCCGCCCGCCTTGGGATTACAGTGCTGGGATTACAGTCCTGAGCCACCACGCCCAGCCACAATCCCAGGATTTTGAAAGGCCAAGACAGGACGATCACTTGAGCCTAGGAGTTTGAGACCAGCCTGGGCAAATCGTAAGACCCCATCTCAAAAAAACAAAAATTAGCAGGGTGTGGTGGCAAGTGTCTGTAGTCCTAGCTGCTTAGTAGGCTGAGGTGGGAGGATCACTTGAGCCTGAGAGGGCAAGGGTGTTCAGTCTGGGCAACAAAACAAGTCCCAGTCTCAGAAAAAAAAAAGATGACCATTAGCTCGTTGTGGATGAGATTAGATTATCTTAAAAATAACCTTAAAAATTCATTCCCGGCAAGGTGTGGTGACTCACGCTTGTAATCCCAGCACTTTGGGAGACCGAGGTGGGTGGATCTAGAGGTAACGCAATCGAGGCAAGGCTTTTCTAGGATGCTCACTGGATAAATAATCAGGATTTTTCAACCGTAATTGGAAATAAATTTGTCAACCATAATTGGAAATTAAAATTGAATTGCAGTATTCAGATTTATCAATACGCTTCATTTTTTAAAAGTCAAATAATGACATTAAAGGGGTGTTTTTATTTTCTAGAAGAATCAAAAGAACCTGTTGCTGATGAAGAAGAGGAAGACAGTGATGATGATGTTGAACCTATTACTGAATTTAGATTTGTGCCTAGTGATAAATCAGCATGTGAGTGTTCTACAGTATTGATTCTTCCCCTTTTATGTACCAAGCATTCCCAATTCACACACACACACACACGCGCGCACGCGCGCGCACACACACACACCCACACACACACACCCCCCCTCTCACCTTTACCACCATTACCTCCATTTTACTGCTTTTTCTTCATTTTAGCATTGGTAATATTGAGGACCAAATACCTATTAACATCAAAGGTTGTGAATGTAGTGAGAATATTGTAGACACTGTGTTATCTGGGTTTATTTTGTGAATGGACTCTTGTTAGTTTTACTGATTGGTGCTGTTGACTTAATCTCACCTGCTGGATGGCAGAGGAGTTACAGCAGTTTTAAAGTGGAAGATCTCAGGATGGCTGGAAAGAGCCCTATCAGCTGAGAGGGGCTTCACCCTGATGCCAGCAGTCTTACCAGGACTCTGACCCTTTTTTCTTGGAAAACCCCATGAGCCATGAAGAGATCGTAATAATCTCTCATAATGAACTCTTACTATTTTATGACTTGTCCTTTGCTTCAGCCGCTTTCAAGATTGATTTTACAATTTGGCAAGTTTGTAAATACTGTGGCCTTTTGTGTACCCATTAAATTTATTGGCACTGATGGTTATTTTTATTATAAAATTTTATTCTACATTGAAAAAAAAATTGGTTACAGTTTAATTCCCTTGTTCAGTGGAGGCAATGTTCACTGCAATGTGCGAGTGCCAGGCCTTGCATCCAGATCCTGAGGATGAGGATTCAGATGACTACGATGGAGAAGAATATGATGTAGAAGCACATGGTTAGTGAAACGGATTTTAAAGTGTTTTTTTGTTTGTTTGTTTAGTGTTTCATTGTAAGCATTTATTTGTATTAAGGGTAGAGGATTATAGTTCTTTATATGTCTGTAAAATATGCAGTATGGTAAGATTATTTTTATTATTATTATTTTTGAGACG